ATTGATATTTTGAGGACGTGAGAAGAACAAACATGACTGGGAATAATGATTTTTTACTTTTTATTGGATAACTCGTCGGATAGCCCCAGGTGATCGTTTCATCATCGGGTGTGTAAGTCGATAGAATGTGAAATAATTGAGAGTTCTGATACAGTTATCAATATATATACAGTTGCAATTGTTGACGGCATGTAATGGGTGCCACATTGATCTTTTTCCAGTTGTATTATCTTGACTGTTCAATCACCTTCCTTATCGATATTTTATTTATGTTTTTATACCACCCGAGAGACGGCATTTGATATATTTCACCTCTACACAAAAATATCTTGGACATAGTAATTTTGAAGGTGTCCTATGCACAATTACGAAAAACATCAACACTAATTACTCAAATTGACGCTAAATTCTTCCTGCTACATCAAGCTAAAATTCCAGAAATAAGCGGGACAGGGAATTATGTAATGAAGTAAATATGACTCTCGTTAACTTTTGTATGGATTTAATTAAAATCTTCGTCTGCAGATACATGCGATTACAAAATCTCATGAGCATTGACTTTTTATTTTTTGGGATTAAATTATATTTTTTATAGTTTACGGATTGGTGTCGAGTTTTTAGTATGACTCTCTAATAGAGATTTGTCCGTGAGAAGTTGGGAAGATAAGTTTTGTAATTAAATTCACACCATGGCAACAAAATATATGATGAAACTCCAAAGCAATCTGAGATAAGACTTGTCATTTTCTCGACCTCAATGATGTCAATAATAATTTCCTATTTGAAATAGAAATATGATTGTGTCTGGAGTGAATTATAGACTTGGTCAATGAATCATCCCATGTTCTACAGAATCAGAAAGTGGAAAGGCTTGTGATTTACGTTCATTACCACAAAGAATAACAACTTAAGCACGAGTCCCTTCGGGATAAAAACATGTTGATAAATTTCTTCATACATTTTTTTTGAACTGTAAAAAAAAACTACAATTTTTTGCGCAACTGGAGGGAAGGGATTTGTGGATCAATTTAGACGTGAGGACATGTCTGAATACGAAAAGAGGCCCAAAGAATGGGCGTAGCCGGACAAAGCTGTTCACAAATTATTCTCTGGTGAAAGAAAAGGTACCTGAAGTAATTCAGAGGCCTTGGCATTCTCTGTTGTATCGTAACCCCAATGTACGGTGAATCTTATCTATAGTATTTAATCAAACCTTGATTAACACTATTATTTTAAGAGTACTCATACAATAAGCTATCTTAAAGATGTAATCGATAATTACGAAAGTTCGAGGATACATTACATTAATTCACACTACGAGACGTGATTTACGGCCAGCAAATTCAGATGTAATTACACGAAAATTACTATTACGTCATCGCGGCCGGTAAAACGCGTTTCTAACCTTGCTTCGCTCGGATTAAAACGAGGCGTGAAAAATACTAGTATTCGATGGGCTCCACGTGGTTGTTCGGATTCGTATGGACACCAATAAATCTTTTCTTTAGACTATTGCATAAATATGTGGGTACGTGAAGATAATTGTCGAAATGATGCATAATAGTTTGACGAATTATTTATTAATACTTACTCTCGTTCAGTTTGGTAATTGAAAACTAGAGAGCAAAGTCATAAAATTTGGGACTGTAATTAAAAATATGAAAAAAAAGCAACAAGTACTTGGCCGAGCTTATTTGGCAGGAAACATTTAACCATGACTTTATAGGCTGGTTTTTTTTCTTGTTTTTAATTTCTACCAATACAATTGGTAGTAAGCCTCCGAATGCATCCGTAGCTCTTCTGACAATAATTCTTTCGAAAAACAAGTTAAAAGGTTGATCTTCAAAAGTCAGGAAGCACATGTAAATGAATTTGTCTTCGAACGCGTATATCTCTTTGGTTGATCTAAATTGGGCACAATATAATAAATATCAAAAAATTGAATGTCTCCTGAGCGAATCATTCAATCCAGCCCATCATCAATACCAAACGTTGCGGTCATAAGAGCGAACTTTTTCAAAATTAGAGAAGCGTACCACGTATTTCTTCAAAAAACATAAAACTTGAAATTGATTCGATCTTAATTTTCATTTTTTTAAAATTACTACAATTTTTTCTTTGACGTTTGAATAACTTTGGAGACTATATGAGAAGAATGGAGCGAATAATTTTCTCCCGGCACAAAACCCGATTTGTCCTTATGGAAATCATCATTCACGGCATCAAGTCTGTAATTAATTGACTCGTGATCTAATCTTTCATTAGTGGCTATGGAGCCGACCCTGATCACACCATTCGTGGCCTGCATTCTGCTTTGCAAAGATCAACTTTCGCCTGGTCACATGAGCTATACGCAATCATGGTTAATATCTTCCCTCTCTTTCTGAGTAACCAGCGACGTTTCGTGTTGCTTTTCACGTGGAAGGTTCATATTTTCCTGCTCAATCGACAGCTATCAGCTTAGAACATTCTCAGTACATGCTCAGAATACCAACCTTAGACAAAATTTGAAGAATACCCGAGTGGAAGTTTCGATCAGGTTCAGATCAAAATTTGATCAGGTCAAAGTCCTGATAATAGATCAGGATCTGATATGGTAACTGGATCAAATCCTGGTCAGTCATGTAACGGCATTTTTAATCAAGACTTGATCAGGTTAAACAGTTCAGGATTTTATCAAGTCAAGATTATTTAAACCAGATGCTGGCAATAAACAATCGTTATTAGCATAAAACAAAAAATAATCAAATTTTACCACTACAGTACATCTATCTTAATGGATGTCTTCCATTATTAACAGTGAAAATAGCACATTACGCAATAAGCGCGTGATGGATTTTTTGGCACGTGGGAGGGTTATAGGAGCCGAAGGCGAGTGTTACAATCCAACGAGTCAAAAAATGCATCTCGCATGTGCTTCATACACTATTTTATATTACTGGGCCCGTAATACACGTTTCTAGCGTGTGATGCGAGGTTATTTCTAATCAATTTTAATTTATAATTGAAAAAATTGATATCTCTAGAAGGGAAGATAAGATGAGTCGTCTGTAATAACTCAACTGCACAACCACCTATTATAAAACATTAGGTGACTTAAAGTATATAAATTAAAAAATGTGTAACCTAGGTCAATCCAGAAAATTTTATAAAGGATGGCATACTGTGGATTTACCAAATCCTCTTTTCAAATTAATCGACTGTTCTTTTACCCGATAATTTAGAGAATTAAAAAACCATCAACTCAATAAACCAGCAGTTATTGAAATGTATGGATATATTTTTTCTGACATCAACAAATTGATGGCGAGTTTGCGAATGATTTTTACAGTATGTTTTTTCCTATTAGGTTAGATCTATTAAAAATGTTGAATGTTGTAAACATGAAAAATTTATTATAATCCCATTTTCAGATAAAACGAATTCAATCCGGTCAATTCTGAGCTATTACGCATCATCATTTAACTCTGAAAATTCAATATCTCCGAAAATAATTGTTGAATGAACTTCATCCGAATTTGAAGTTAATAGGGAACAACAATTTACAAAAAAAAAACTGAATACCTTCCTTAGTTTTGGAGATATCTTGAAACAATGATTTATGACAGATCACGATTTCCCACAAGCGGATTGACCGATTGAGCTGGATGTGGGTTCAGAGTTAGCGTAAACTGTTATCTACTATCTAACAAAATTTTAAATTTTTTCGAATTTTTTTACCCACCTATATCTTTCTTTAACTAAAAAATGACTCCAGGTCAGGTCCACGCACAAACATTTTCAAAAAATGTTGAGAGAGAGAGACTATTATAAGTAAAAGTTAATCAAAATAAAAATCCATATTCTCCATTTTCTTTTAATTCGCAGAGAGTCAGTCACAACTGAACACATTTTTCATGTCTTTTACCGATTCCAATTCAATATATTTGTAAATTACTAAAAAATACGTAAAAAAAATAGAGGGCAAATATTAAAGACAAAAATAAACTTCTATCTGAAATCTCCGTACCGAGCAGTAGAAAATATTGATCTTTATCTCTTCAACAGAGGAGCGATATTTTTGAATAAAAGAGGAGTCATTTTAATTAGCACCTCCCTTTTTATTGGAGTACATGAGAAAATTCATGTTCACGTAGTGTCCAGTGATTGAGAAAAATTAATGGAAAGATGACTCTGGTAATTATTTCAGCGCAGCATCGACTTCTCAGTGGAAAATAAAAAGAAATAGCTAGAATTCCCTGAGTTACCACGACATTTTCTCAACTGCATGTAGACCGGTTGATCGCGTGCCTGGGATTGTATGCACATAAGACATATGTGATTTAAGATGTCTAAAATGCAGATAAATGGAGGATTGGGAGGGATTCGCGTTAAGGTACTTCGTCGGTTGCTCATTTCGACCTACATTATATTTCGTTCGGAATATCCACGGGCATTTTTTATCTTCTTTTCATATCTGTGCTGGCTTCTCTCAAGCTGCTTGCACTGCGAATGATTATTACGATTCACTATTCCCATGAGCAAGGAATCTTACTCAATTCATAATGTATAAAGAATTGGTTTAATGGACTGACAATTTTAGTCTTGCGGTAGTAGATTGAGGGGCCCGGCACATGTGGCATATTAGGTGTTTCTTTAATCTCTATTCAACCATCATTGGGAATACTCTTACGGTTGCGTAATCAGATTTGATTAATAATAGATTCTTTAACGAATCGTATAAAACACTTGTACGAAACGATTTCAAGATGTCAGGCGTGCTAAATCAGGTTCGTTATTTAATTGTAATACTTCATTTTTACGATTATGGTGTCTTTTCAGTTTATTTATCACGTTGTTCCTAAGATATTATATAAGAATAGTAAAATACAACAAAAATTTGAATATTTAAGATGTCACACTTTAAAAGTCAATATGTTCTTGATTAAAAAATATTATTCCATTTATAAATTGAATAATGATATTCTTGTATAAGTATTGTAATATTATATTGTAGTTGTAATAATTTGCAATTTTTCCAATGCGATGTCGGCGGAAATCTCCCATCGAGAAATATATTGAAATTTGGAACGATATTGGTGATTACATTTTTTAAGATATAATCGGTATCGAAGAAGAGAATTTCAGAATAAGTTGGTTCATGTGAGATACTCAATTTCTCACTACTTAGCAAATTCTTTAGAATTCTTTCGAGCTTTGTTCGGGTTATCAATAATAACAACGGTACCTCCATTGTTTGGTCCTTTATCATCAGTAATTTTCGTTTTCGGTGGAGAGATCATTGCTGTTGAAGAGCTGCTAGTTGCAGGAGTTGTTGGTTCTTCGAATATTGAATTTTGAGTCATACTACTGGGACACTTTACAGAACACCACGAGAACGTTCGCATAGCTTTCGCCATGGAGTGTTCACAGAAATGACTGCAAAATTTCGTCATCCAACTTTGGAGATTCATATTTGCAAAAGCAAATTTTGCTATTGAAGAGTCCACGTCCCTCTGTTCAAACGAGATAAAAAATCATTAAAAAATCTGTAAGAGTATGGAATAAATTAGTGAAATTGTAATTTTTTATTCCTTTATTCACGATTTTTCAGAGAAATGAGCGTTTTAAGGCGAAAAAGTTTAAGGACTTTTTTCTGGTTGATTAAAGTTCCAATGAAAAAAGCCCTTTGGTATTTCCACCGATAATCAACAGTTTTACGCCAGTCGATGTTTAATGGAAATATTAATGGATGTATTTTCAATTATGATCATTTGATTCTTCAAATAAAGGACTTTTTTTTTCAAATTACTCACCCGGGCGACAACTACGATTGAAATACAAATGAGTAAAAAATAATATTTACTGAATTTCTCCATAACAAATATGGGAATAATTGTAAATGATATTACAAAGAGATTCAGAGGTACTCTGACGACGCGATGTTACTGACTTCGTTATATACTTGACAGAAACCTATAGGCATTGAATTTTCATGTCTGTGCATAAATTAAAATGCAGATAGCAAAATTCAATTGATATTGTCTTTTCCAATGATAATGCGGCCCAAATTCCAAAGAAAATGCTGCTCAATTCGGGTTGGGGCCAGCAACCTCATAAATTTTATTCTCCTCTTTTATGTTGGTTATCACCTTTTGAGAGTCTTTAAGAAGAAAAAGCATTAGTGAGTAATGTTTCAACACTTTCGTCTCACGTTTTTTTCTCTATCGAACATCTTGCTGATATTCTATGGAATATTTTACTGATAAGAGTTTACGCGAAATTCAATTTTTTTGTAAGGCGTTTGACCTATAGAAAATTATCTTGACGTACTATCAGACTACTTCGACAGGTAGTTGATAAGACAATAGAAGTAACTCGGGGTAAAAAAAAAGGATTTAATATTCAAGGATGACTCCTGAAATCTTAATAGGAACGAATATAAATTAATTGAAAGGAAAGAATTGATTCACTTTGTTGCAATTAATTCCTTTCACCGAAGAAGAGAAAGGGATTATGGAATAATGGAGTATTAAAGAAGAGCTCTTGGATTATATTAATGAAAAATAAATGATTACTGAATTTTTTGTATTGTTAATTATTGCACATTTCCTTCTCTAAACAGTTCTTAATGGAAACATAAATCTACCGCTCCAGATCATTCACTAAATTTCAGTTTAAGAAATCTCAAGACAATTTTACAATTTTAAAATGCAGGGAAATTAAAAAAAAATATTTATAAATCCAAATCTTTAAAGCTCAAACGGACCAAAATCTTCATTCAACTTCATTCATACCTTCCGCGTGTCTCTACACCAATACCGAGGCGACTGTTTTGTCCACGTGATCTTTAATTTTGAAAACCATGTGAAAATCAGCCCGCTGACACCGAAAAACACAAACACGTGAATCGCAACCTGAAAACTCATAAGAATGCCAAAAATATTTAACATCTTCAAATCGGTGGAGCAAAATTATGGGCAGAGTACAGAATTAATCGAAAACCTCTTATCAGACAATTCTGATCTTCCCCTGAGCTCCGAAGAAGTAAGTTAACCTCTCTAACCTCAAACTTCCTCGAGACCTCAAAATAAACTCATTCAAAATTATCTCTAGGCCCTCATCCTACAGAGCTCAATAATAACGGTCATCAACACTCGCTTGAATCACTCGGCAACCCGCTCAGAGGGATTAAAAATTCTCCTGAGGGTTCTTCCACGATGTTCGAGAGAGCAATTAGCAAAATTCTCCTTCCTGTGGATGGGAAAAGCCACAAAACTACTCGAAAATGCTCAGAGTCCTCCCAAAGACGTAGATCTATCCTGCAAAATCCTCTCGAAGCTAGTAATCTCCTGTAAAGAGATTCCAGAACTCCATAAGCAGATTTCTATGCAGAGCGTAAAAAATCTGGTGGGATTAATCGTGAATATGAATGATGAGAAAAGAACAGGTGGTATATTTTTTGTAATAGCAACACTTCTTTTTCACTATCGCGAGTCCTGCGAGCGTCATCAGTCCTCGATCCGCAGTCTCTTGATTTCCCAGATCGATAATAAGTCCAGATATCTGGTTCAAGCTGCTGCTAATTGTTTTGCACTTCTATCAAAAGCCATAGAACGATCCTTCAAGCCGCCAGTAAAATTTGCTCATTACACGAGTGGTGTTTATTACCAAATTCTGATTTGCAACGATCTCCACTTGATAATGGATGATTTATTCACTGGAATCCTCGAGCTCGATACTGTGGAGATTGGGGAATCCCTCAATCTGTCCTGCATCCCTCAAGAGGACGTGATAGAGTATTACAACAAGGTGGAACGAAGATTTCAGAATTTGTGTGTTTATTTGGCTACTATTCTTCGTGGCTGTTCTGGAAAAAATTCAGTCTCCTGCAGCACAATAATAAAACTTGTCTGCCGAGGACTGGCTGTAACTCCAGAAAATCTCCAGAGGGAGGACTCGTACAAGAATCAGATTCTGTATGTGATTCTCCCGATGATCCACATGGGTTTATTGAACGTATTGAATGCCTTTATCTGCGGTTTTCACAGGGAACTCGTGCCTTTCGCAGTAACGATTCTCCAGTTGTACCGACAGACCTTGAAGTGGACTAGAAAAATTGAGGAGGTGACCATCAGTGGCTGCAGGCCCTTCACGAATATTAGGATCAATACATACAGAAGTTTATCCCTGTGGCTTAATTGCCTCGGGACTCTTTCAGGTGTTGACATGATTGCAAGTGATATTTTGGCTGATATCCTTGAAGATGTGACACCTGAGAAGGACCAGGTGCTCCTGACGATCCAGAATACTCAGAATATGTCGAAAAAGGCTTTCAAGAAATTGAAGAACAGTCAATACGAGTACAGTACAGCTCTAGGCGCAGAAGACTGTGAACAGAAGATTGAGAGGAATCCCGTGGTTAATGCTGGTCTCTGTAGAGAGGCTCTCACTGTTGTGCAGAATATTTTATACAATTCAGGTGTTGTGCTGGGATCCGTGGTGCACCGGGTTCTGCAGAAACTAGTCGTGAATCTCCTCATGAATTTTTATCTCGGAAGAGATGATCAGAGCCTTTACTCGAAGGATTATAAATGTAGATTGAATTTATTGAAAACTCTCAGGGCTATTCAGATGAATCCTAATCCCTTGACTGCACCGCCCACTCAGTACTCAGTAGAGATTTTTCAAATGGCGATTAATGATGAGGATAACGAAATCGTGGCTGAAGCCAAAGTTGCTCTTGCTGAAGTAGAGAAGATCGTGCACCCTAGTGCAGCCACTCTGGATTCTTGTATAGGACAGAGTCAGGACAAAAATGCTGAAAATTCCGAATGCTTCGTTAGGGAGAAAAATGGTGACGCTGTTGGCAGGAAACCAAATATTGTGACGAAGATCGATGGTTTCAAGGATTGGATCAAGGCTCTGAATGATTCTTCTGGGAAAGCAGAGGAAAATAATTTTGAGGGAAAAGAGATCAATGGAATGGAGAGAGGCTTGAGGGATGAGAGGCCTGAATGGAATGAAGCAGAAATGATTAAGGGGCTGGGGGATGATGATGTGGAGGTTATTGAGCAGGCAAAGGAGCCTCCCAGGAAGCAGAGAAAAATCCAGATAATCGAGGACATCTGCCTTCCACCACCCAATTACGTACCACTTAAGACTCCCTCGATCGAGGAAATTCCCCAGGAATTGCCTGAGAAATGTGCTCAGAATAGCTATGATAGTGCTAGAGGCCAGACTGCTTATTTCACTATTAAAGAAGCTCAGAGGGTTTCTGCCAACAGCTCCATGAGCTCTGATCAACCTGTTGAGATCATCAAGGAGATCAGTGTTTTCAAGGAAATCAGTATTCTCGAAGATGAGTTCAAGGATCCGAGGAGGGATGACGGATCTGATGATGATGAGGTCATTCTTAGTATGTTCTGCGATCAAATAAAAGAATAGTTACAGTTTCTGCAGGTGAATGAATTTTTTTTATGTAATTTGTAATTTTCTAATCGTTACCATTTTCTCTCGCATTTCGTTGCAAGAAAAAGAAAATGGCATTTTACGGATCCAATTCCTTTAGGGAATTCTAATTCATGTTTATTTTGTATTTTTTACGATAGAAAAAAAATGAAATGATGATAAAAACCACAAACTAAAAATTTTTGGGGCTTTTGGAACATTCACAGTTGGAATTATCTCAGGAATAATCTTCCCTCCTATAGTTCCCAATTTATTAATTGGTTTCCCAATGGTATCAACAATTTTTTTCGTTTCCTTTTCCACTTTTTCGATAGTTTCAGCCGTAACCCTGAGGGTATCACAAGCTGGTGACATGAATTTCTCCACAGCCCCATTCCATAACCCCATTTCCCAAAGTCGGAAGTTCTTCATGAGCTTTACCTTATCGTTTATGCTGATGAAGGAATTATCTTCACTGGAGAATGACGGAATGGTTTCACGTGGTGTGACCCCTTCAAACTTTCCCGTTGTAGCGAATTGTGAAATGAGATCGGTGAATGTCTCAGTCACTTGTAGTTCTTCCTTTGAGAATGGGATAGATGGAATTTGTGTCCCCCAAATATATCGTTCTGAGGGAATATGAATGTCGTTCCTGATAGATCGTTGGCATCCACTAAGGGCAGTCCTGCCAGAAAACCCTTTCCATGAAAGTATTTGCTGTTGTAATCGAAACGGTAGAAATAAGTATTGACCCTTTTGCTCCAGTAGGTGAGTGTCAGGAGTGCAGGGGCATTGAATATCGCGCCAGTCAGTGCTTCTGCCACTTTTTCATGCTCTCTCCCAGATTTGTAGTTGGCGAAATATTCAAGTATTTGTCAAACGCATGGGGAATAAACTGCCTGGAACCGTTACCGAAGAATGGAATCGTCCTCTGGAGAGAAGGTACTAATTTTTTGTTTAGAAAATTTGGGATTGTTTTTAATTTGTTCTTCATTTCGTTCCTGTAGCCACCAGAAATTGAACCTCCGGTTTCGTCCTTTACGACTCCAGTAAGAAGGAAATTTTTGGAAGACCACCAAGTCTCAACAAGTTTTCGGGTTTGTCAGCCATAGAATTAGAATTAGGTAGAGCCCTTAACTAAAAATTAATGACAAATGATTTGGAAGTTTAGTACTTTTATCTGTGGAAATAATCAATTGAAAAATGGGTCGTTTTGCCTGACTTAAATTTCTATTGAAACATTAGAAATTCCAGTGGATATGCGATACGGAAAATACATTATAATTTTTATATTTGAATGTTTTTCTGTTAAAATCGATTGATTTCCAATTGTTTCTGCTGTATTGGATTTGATTTATGGAATAGAATTTTGACAGAATTTCTTCCATCGTCACTTCTTTCGACTACAGGTCTAGCTGCTAAAAACGTGGATATTTCTGAAATAAAGCCGTGAGTCACCAGTAAAATCTCTGATAATCTTGAATCAACAGTGATGAACCTTTCCATTGGCAATTCCTGCCGACACTGTACCATCTCCTTTACGTTGTCACCAGGACATCCGTGAGAAGACGCTGTGAACTTTGTGGATTGTATGGGATCTCTGTCGAATGCGAAATTCGACAAAACTGTTCCCGACATGGCAATCACTCCACTAAAATAATCTGAAAGGAAAAAATCAAATACATGAACTGCGAAAGTATTAAATTAATTTCATATTTTCATAACTTTTTTGGTGGAGGGCGTTCATGTTATTAAATAATTCTCACTTTTCGTTAAACTTGATAGAGAAAGCGTCACAGCAGAATTAGGACCAGAGTCAATACTGAATGGAAACGACTACCATATTTTTCTTGATTAAATTCCTTGTTTGGTATTGAGAAGCTGAGTCAACTCTAAATCCTCCTCCATAGATCCATATGAGCACTGGGTAGCCATCTCCAGAGTCTGGCAGCGCTGGCGTAAAGACATCGAGGAATAAGAATCCTCGGAGCCAACGATTTTTCCTCTCTGCAGCTGGGGGCACGGGGAACTCCAGGCTGTTGCGTTCAATTCGTCCTTCCACTGTAAAGCTCTAGGTCTCTAATTCTGCAGATGAAATAAAACGATGGTGACATGTGATAATTACAATCATTTTTCAGGTTCTTCTGGGGATAACATGGAATTAAAAATGGATATTATTTGCAGCGCTAATTGCAATCAAATTAACAGGATGTGAAAAATAATACTGAAGTTATTTTGAGAGAAACAAACGGGATGTAGAGAGACGAAGAGATATTGGGAATTTCGTTGCTGAAAAAAAATTAATATTCCCAATTTTTTAACAGTTTGTGTAAAATTTAGAGCATTTGTGATTCAAATTTCGTTAATAGTGAGTAAAGGTGACTAAATCCCTAAAAACGATAAAGCCATGAAAATTACGATGTGATTTTTGTTCTAAACATCAAATAACATAGCAATAATCTCTCAAGTAATTCTCGTAAAGATCCAAGACCACCGAAAATTGAATAATTATCAACACATACTTGCAATCGACTCCGGCCAACTGGTGGTTCGCCAAATCGAATGCCCCTAACGACTTAAAACCCTTTTCCGGAATCACGAGAGCCGTAAACTCTTGCATTTCGATCACCTCGATCGACAAAAACAACGGGATCATCTTCGGGAGGTTTAGCCGCAGCAATTCCTCCGACGATTCTCTGGACTCTAACTGAACAGTCAGAGAGATCTATTACGATGAATACAAAAATGAGAGCTAGGAAACATGTTGCCGGCACGAGATTCATAATTCAAATATTAAACCCTCTTCGGAAAATCGCTGGACATTGGACATTTTGATAAGACCGGAAGATACTCTAGCACGAATAAATTCCATTTTTATTCTCAATCATTCCAATTTCATTTACAGTATAATGATAGTAATAAATATATACACTGTATGGATTTTTATTCGTACAGCAATGATCTTATGCTATTTATAATTGTTACAAATTTAACTAAACTGGCAGAACTTCTGAAATTGGATTAATGCATGTTCTGTAGCACTGCCTAGACATTTTCGTGATTTTGAATTTTATTTGTTAAAAGGGGAGCATTATTATCTTATGTGGCGTCATCGCATTTACGTCCTTTGGGTTTGTATTGGCTAATCGATGAGTTTATGTCTTTTTCACAGTTTGAATACGCCATACCGAGGCCAAAGCCTGCCCCTGTCACAATCGGCCATCTCTCTGTAAAGAAAATGCACAGAAATTGTAAGCACCGAATAATTCATTAATCAATTAATAGAAGAAGCAAGAATATTCAATTTCTTATTTAAGATAGCAAAGGCACGCCTTTCTATCTTGTAGTTTCTAACCGATTTTTTATAATTAAATCATTGGAAAAAATTATAATCACATACTTTGAAAAGGAAACCAACAAATTTGGTTTCTCTTTGAAGCGCGGAGTAAAATCAACTGTAGTTATACTTTTCTCGGTTTCTGAGTCCTCAATAACTTTCCAACTTTTATAAACCGTTGATTTGGATAATTTTTCTTCATTATCACTTGAAAACTGAATCTAAATTTATGAATATTCACAACTATTTTAATTTCTGATTGATGACATGTTAGAGGTTATGGAATAACCTCGGCCAAACTGCTGATATCAAACCATCAGACGATTGAAGATTGAACTAACAAATAAATTTGTTATCCTGGTGGAAAAAAATTAGATGGAAGTATAATAAAAGTAATTAGGTACTCACTTCTGAAAAAGAGCAGGGAGACAACAGAGCCGATGACAATACCACCGCCTAGTCAATGTCAAAACATAAATGGATATTTTAATGAATTAAGACCACCGATATTTAGTTTAATTGAGAAGCAATTGGAGGTGATGGTTACCCAATTTAATAACAGCATCTGCAAAACAGCGGTCCCATTTTCGGCCAATTTCATCCTCAGCCAAAGTGCCAGCCATTTTTATCGAAAAATGGACAAATTTGCGTTACGTCACACGTTTCTGAATGCGATCAATGAGTTCAGGGGTGGGTTGAGGTTAATTGTCAAAATAATTTATTATTTTTTGTGTTCTCCAATCGAACGAAGACTTTATGGATTCAGAAAGATTAATGTCAGATTACCTGTGTGAAATGTCGTTCGGCCACGGAATAAAATAGTTTCATTTTTTGGCGGGTATTTGCCGCCATATTTTAGTTGTGAACGCTACGGCCACGATTTTTTGTAATGACCCGAGAAACAAGAAAATTACTGAGATTTAAATCATCGCAGATGTAGTACACTGGAGATTCACACACGGCGGATTTCATTATTTTAAATAGAGCGGAGAGTAAAAAATCAGTATCTATTAATCTCATAAATAGATACATGAATATATAAGGGAAAATGATAATTGTTATTTGTTTTTCATATTAATAAATTACATTGAGTCAAAATTAAAAAAATTTCGCATATGTTTCTTCATGTCATATAATTATGCGTCAAATTTTCTGGTAGAAATTCCTGAATTGACGATTGAGTAAGTTGCACGATTTTCAGATGATTTATATGATGGCTTTAAGAATAAATTTTTCTTGGCACTTGGCTACTGAATTCCCTTCACTACTTAATACTGGATAAACTGCTGGCTCTCCATGCCACTGAAAATTCACCTTGAAAAAAAAAACAATTCTTTGTTCACGCGACAGAATGAGAAGTTGAATAGAAGGGATCAGTTGTCCCCTGCAATTTTCATGAGGTGTGAAGAAAAATAGATTTCGCAACCGTACTTAGCTGTCAATCATTTTGTCACCGTTGCCATAAAGTCTGCAAGAAAATTCTCTCACGATAAATTGTTTTTCAGTAAATCCTAGATAATTTAAGGGAGAACAATTGGTAAGTAAAAAATGCTGCATTGGGATGGACAAATGTTTAATTTTCCAAAACGAAGTCGAGAATTAAATATGTATTCATAAATCGGGGAGTGCCACTTTGGAAGAAATTGTGATGATTGACAGACACGAACCTAGACCAAGTGTTTATTAAAAAATTCAGTAGGAGTGTTCTTCTACCTAGCTGTCATTAACTATTTTCCCTGAGGGAGGGTTTTCCCTTCGTCAGTTTCTGTTGGAGCCATGGAGTCGACTGTTCAGTCTGCCACAAAAGCTATACCTATCAAACTGACATATTTCTTTCTTTTTATTGTCGGTTTTGGAATTGCAGAGACTTCCAGGGACAGAATAAAACTGAATTTATGTCTATTATGTTCGTTTCTCCTGTTGACGGTCTCTCAAATTGTCGCTAGCGTGAACTTGTATTTCTGTTGGGGATCTTTTCAAGTAATTATTCGTAATAATTGAATTTTTTCCACCGCGAGGAATTAATTGAGGAGCCAGGTTATAGTTGGCTATTTCATTAAATATCCACTTCATGGTGGATATTTTGATCTTCATTGAATAAAATCCTTCTTTGGATGAAAAAATTACTGCTCCTTGAAGTTGAGTGAAAAGGGTCTAATACATGTCGCTTCTCAATTACATCGATTTTCTGATAACTTTCTCCAGGCTTTTCATTGACGTCTAGATAAATAGCGATTTTCTTCTAGAATATGGTTTATACACTGATAAATGCCTTCACGAATGCAATCGTCACAGCAAAATTTGTTACCTTCATGATTCGAAGGGACGATTACGTTAAACTTCTTCAACTCTCATGTGATTCACTTTGGAGACCAGACGCAACCGGAGATGAAGCACCAGTGTTAAAGCAGTGCGAAAAACAGGCAAAGTTCTGCGTCATTTTTTTTGCCATCTTTGCCCAAATCACTGGTTGGGTATACATTACCGAGCCCATAATTAGTGAGTGCACTTTCCCAAGAATTAACTTTTTTCATTGACAACTCAAAATATCGTGAGGTATTTTTTATAGTCAATCTACTAAATAATAGTACAGATCCGAAGGATCGGGTATTTCCATTTGACGTCTGGCTAGAAGTACCTGTTTATGAAACCCCATTTTTTGAAATTCTATTCTTCATTCAGGTGTTTTTTTTTATTAATAATGAGTTTTACGCTGACGGAAAATCGACATGATATGACAAAGCTTTTTTTCCGATAGAAAGAGGGAAATTTTCATTTTATCATGAAATGTTCCTGTTGCAATCACAAATTTCGTAGTTATTATTATTAAGGATATATATGTTCTCATTTTTCAAATTTTCTGGGAAATTGTTGATAAAATTGATGTTAAAAAATATAGCGTTTTAAAGTTTTATTATTACTCAATGTCTCACGGTATTTCATCATCGTGCTAGAGTTCTGCACGTTCTCAGTAAACTTTTCCAAAAATCCATAAAATTTTATCAAAAACATGAAAAATGAGAAAGCATCGGTAATAACTCCTTAAGAATAATAACACCATGAATTTCATTATCAAATGATATTTTACAATATTTTTCCTAGGACGTTACGCTTTTGTGATATTATTGTGATATTTCCATCGGCGCAAGCATTCTAATGATTTTTTTGTGATTAATGATTTTGTTGCAGTCGGCGATGACTTACCACGTGTGCATTTTGTACTGCTGCTTCGATAATTATCTCGCGATCGCGAATATTTTTATTGCAGGTCATTTTACAATTCTCAGGAATCGATTAACCGCTTTATACAACAGAGAAGTCAATGGTTCAAAGGGGAATCATGATAGAAACCGGAATGACTTGAATCTCGTATTTAGTGAGTTCAAGGGATGTGTCAGGCAGCACCAGTTTCTGATTCGTGTTGTGGAACAGGTGGAGAGTGTTTATACTCTGATGAATCTAGCTTCGGTTCTCATCTACAGTATCATTATTTGCCTCATCGGTTATCAATTGATTATGGTACGCAGGCGGATGAAAAATTCTAGCTCCTGATCGAGAAAGAGTTGCAATTTTTACGGATTCTCCAAATTATAGTTCGGAGATCTATCTGAAAATTGAAACTTTAGTGTCTTATGCCAATGGTTTGTTCAATTTCTTTTCTTCAATTAAAGCCAGGGAATACTGTCCTCAGACGCATAAAATTCACGGGTTTTGTCTCTACATGTCTGAGCCAACTACTTTCTTTTGCATTTACTTGCAACAATGTTTCACTGGCAAGTGTTGATGTCAGTGCAGGGCCTTACAATTCAGATTGGTATGCTACTGACTGTAGCAAATTGGGACGGATGTTGCGGAAAGACTTTATCATAATTATGCTGAGGTCTCAACGTCCCTGTTATCTCACAGGAGCTGGATTCTTTCCGGTGACACTGAATACATTGAAATCGGTGAGTTAAATTCCCCCAAAAAATCAATTATGACAATAACTTAATTCTTCTGCTTCAGGTACTCTCTACGGCTCTCTCGTATTTAACTTTGATCAGGCAGAGATCCATGCAGCAGTAGAAGTAGACAGCACTGATAAGAGTAGAAATTCAATAAACAACTGAGTTAACTAGTAATTTGTTGATTCAATCTTGTTTTACCATTTTTCTTTGATGTTCGTGAATGGAACATTTGTAATAGTTCGAGTTCAGATATGAAATTTATTTTTCATTTGTCTTTGTTTGACACTTTTAAAGATTTCACTATTCCACAGAGGGGAGATTGGCTGATGGAAATATTCGATTTTTCAAACAAGTTTCTTTCCTCCCCTCAAACGTCATAGATATATACCCTATAAGGCTGGCAGTGAAATTTTTCATTTTTTTGTCCCTGACGGTTTTCATACTATCTACGAGTCACATATTTGTAGAATCGCAATTGCTAATTAATCACCAAAACTATATGCATGTAAAGACAGGAGTAAATTTCAACTACACGTTTTATTTTGAATCTTCGCGCGTCATTCGCTGCCAACAGATGAGGAATTGTTCTGTTATATCTCATCTGTTTTTAGCCTCCAGCCAACAAATGGCACGCACGGAAAAGTGTTATTTCGATTATCTTTGATGACTCTATTTTCTTTTCGTCAATTTGGGCTTAAGGCACAGAAAGCAATGTGTTCGTTTTCCAATATTTATTCTGTGGCCTATGTGACAGTTCCCAGTGACGAGATCGCGAAAAAATTGGCGCAGTATGTACAACGATTAATTAACCTTTACTAATAAACAATGAGATATTCTTTCTATTTCAGCGGTATTGTGAAGAGTCAACTTGCTGCTTGTGTCAACATCATCCCTCAAGTAAAGTCTGTCTATGAGTGGAAGGGCGAAGTAAATGAAGAGAATGAGCTGCTTCTCGTACGTTAAGATTTTTTTTTCGTATCAAAGAAATCAAATTGTTCGGCAGGTTTTAACAAACGAAATTCGATTCAAATAGTAAATTATGTCGTCAGGCCTGAAAAGTTTTTCTCTGACAAATTTAATCATAATGTGTGCAAAAGGCACCCATTGTAATTGCAATTTGTCAGGAAAATTACTTTCAAGTCTTTTGACATAAATTATTTTTCGTCACGAGGCCCAACTAAGTGAGGTTTGTACAGGCTCAGTGACAAATTCGTAATTTTCTGGCCTTGTAGCGTAGATAAATTATACAGAAGAATGATGCGCTATAAACTTGTGTTATTGCATTTTTCATTTCATCGAAATACAATAAAAAGTAATCAGGTTAAGTCAGTGAAAATGTAATATTAATTTAAACATTAAAAATATATTTTACAGATGATCAAGACGAGGACGGAAACTGTAGGAAATTTAACGAAATATGTGAAGTACGTGTTAATCAATGGAAATTCACACGTTCGCACGAAATAATGAATCAATTTTTTTGCAGAGAAAATCATCCATACGAACTCTGTGAAGTCATATCTCTTCCGGTAAGCGAAAAAAGACTCACTATTTTGATTTTTTTACAATTATTCATCTAAATTTTTCAATTTTTTCAGATAGACAACGGAAATGAAGAATATCTGAAATGGATTGGCGAAATTGTACCCCAGAGCAGTAAAAATCCCGGAAAAAACATTCAAATTAAATGAAGTAACTAAATTAACAGCACGCGATACGTCAATTTTTTTCATTTTATTGCATATTGATTAATCCGAAACTATTGATTTTATCAGAAAACATTTCTCTTGAGGTATTTACTCCGCTGCAAAGAACTCTTGATATTTTTCCCCCATATCCATAGTTTACCACATAAGTGAATAATTAATAAATAATTCTCCCACTGAATCCGAGTAAATTATTTGAAAATATAGCATTTCTAGCTGCTACCAATCCGTCAATTTTCAGACTGAAAAACCCCGGAACTTAGCTGTAGGACGTGATCGATGTAATTTGTGGTTTCTTTGCACACGCGCAGCTGTGCGGGGGGGGGGGGAGAGTTATCAATTAATAAGGAATGTACAGACGAAGAAAATATGTAATTCATGATGTACGAACAATTTTCTATCGCATTGACAATTTACTTAACCCATTGAGCAATTTTTCATTTTATTCCGGCCAGCATCATGGTAAAAATAGGATAATTATGTATAATTAATGAGTGAATGTATAAACAAAAAAAAATCTAGTATAATCATGTACTAACGATGTATAATCGAATACATAAGATAGTTTTCCTAATTATTACACCCTTAGGGCTAAGTGCACGGGGGCCTTTGGTGGCCTGGGTGGCCCGTCCTCCGAGTCCCCAACACCGTCTTTATCGACGCCCTTGGTCTCGCGCCCTGCCTTATCGAAGCGCACGACACTCGCCCTCGTGCCCTACCTTATTCACAAGTATACCAACTGATGTATAAAAAAAACCTTTATACTTTATACTTATATATTTATATATATATATATAATGTTGAAGGTTTTATTCTGACGCTATGGCGCTGGCAATCTATGAATGCTGTATACATATATAGCTTCGATAATACGAACGATGGTCCCCCGCAGTCAGTGAGTGGGAAATGCTAATGACTAACAGTTATTCCAATCGAATTGATTTTTCCCATCGCGTTTCTTACTGAACCGTCGAAAATGTGTGAAATTGTGGTGACAAGAGTCACATAAGAGACATTCATGCCACCATTGAAAAATCGTCGTACGCACAGCTAATAAACACGAATCTCAGAAAAATCTCCATTATTACACAGTGTCAGTCCCATTCTATTTTGGTACGCTGCTGGTGACTGAACAATACTTAACCCAAACGTGATGATGAAAGAGTCAATCCGGGGGAAAACTGACGATCAATAGCTGAAACCAATGATGAATAAATCCTGGAGATCCGTTTACCAGGATAATGTCATCCAGTATCTATCCGCTGATAATCCTGACGGCTTTGACCGTCTATGTACCAGTAATTTGGCACAAAATAAATACACGAGTGCATCTGTAAACAGTGTCTCAGCTTACCCTTCGTCTGAAACTGAAACTTTCCTAAAAAATCATCACGAGGGGAGGAATTTTATATTTAAACTAACATCAAAGTTAATGTTGTTGATGAATTTTTTAAAAAACTTATTACTAATAATACTACTCAAGAGGTCGAACGTCACAGGACATATTGTACCAATTATGAGGTTATGCTTGATAATTCCAACGATAATCCTAATTATTCAATTGACCCCAGTGACAAGTGCAACGCAGCCCTTGAGGAACCCCTACGAGATCCTGGGAATTCACAGGCGTTCGACCCTCCAGGACATAAAAAAAGCGTACAAGAATCTCGTGAAGGAGTGGCATCCTGACAAAACTGATCATCCCGATGCCGAAGATAAATTTGTGGAGATAACAAAGGCATATGAGCTTCTGTCAGACCCAGAAAGACGAAGGAATTTCGATAACCGTGGAATAACTGAGGAGGGAACCTCCAGATTCAGAAGTGAAAACAGTCATTTTCAGATGCCTGATCCTCTGGAAGAGTTATTTGCTGGAAATTTCAAATTTAATTACCAGAGTCGAGATATTTCTTTCTACCACAAGATGAGTGTGACATACAGAATGTACGAACATATGATTCTGCCAAAAAGTCTCCGCACTCCTTATTTACTTTTTTTCTACTCAGAGTGGTGTTTCACTTGTATTCAGATCGAGCCAACGTGGCGTCGATTGATAGACGAATTAGAGCCTTTGGGTGTGACATTGGCAACAGTTCATGGTGAGAGAGAGCCGGCATTTAAAAGACGAATTGGAATTCACTCGATTCCCTGTCTAGCCCTGACAATGGACGGTCGCACAAGCATCTATAAGGAGTCCCTCTTCAATGTCCCAAAAATCGTGGAATTCGTTCGGAGCAAATTCCCTTACAAGTTGATTCCCAAGATAACTAAGGACAACGTTGATGGATTTTTGTCGGGCTGGAGGGACAACAGAATCAGAGCCCTGATATTCGAGAAGAAGGACTCACAGAGACTACGATATCTCCTGGTGGCATTCCATCACAGGGACCGAGTGGCATTTGGTTTTGTTCAAGTGGGAAAACCAGAGACTGAGGAAATCACGTCGAGATATAAGATTTCTGGTGATTTGAATACATTATTACTGTTCAATGAAAACTCTGAAAAGCCCATGGCATCAGTTAGCATGAAGGACATCTCCAGTGAGACGATGCACAATGTTATATCGAATAATAAATTCCTGGTGCTGCCTAGGTTATCGAATCAGGCGATACTGGATTCTGTGTGCCCACCAGAGTGGCTAAGACCTCAGAAACGATTGTGCGCTGTTCTCATATCCCAGAATAGTCCTGGACATGATTTGGCTAGACAGAGGTTTAGGCAGGCAGCACTGGAATCTCCTTACAGTCCAGAACGTGTGAGATACACGTATGTTTACAAAGAGTCACAGCCACAATTTGTGTCTGCCCTCTGTGCGGGTGAGGGCAGTCCTCTGGAACCTCTTATGCACATCGTCATCATCTGGAGAAGAGACGCTAATCATCTGAAGTACGAGTGGCTGCAAAATGGCTGGATCGATGCAACTGAGGACGAGAATAAATGGAATGAGACGAGGAGAAGTCTCGAGCAGACAATACAACGTCTTCTAAGGACCACTGAGGCCCTTCCATATGCTGCCAGAGTCGATGAACTTGCCGATGAACATGCCCAGGGTACTGTTGATAAACTCATTGGCAGGGCACTACTTGCCGTTGATTACATCTCTGATAACTTAACGAAGGAACAGCTTCTGCCTCTTGCGTCTGTTATCGCTTCTCTGTTGTTCATTGGAGCTGCTGGCTATGGCGTGTCTTATTTGGTGAAGCTGGAGGAACTCAGCGTTCAGAGCAAGATGCGACAATTCAATAAGGAAAATTCTAAAGGCATCTCGAGCCAGCCGCAGTTGCGACTCTATGAGATGAGGGCTGAAAAGTATAATGGACTCGTGAGGCTCTTGAAACCTGGGTGTAGGACTATTATTCTGATTGTCGATGCTCAGAGCAGGCTCAAGCTACTGCCAGCGTTTCATAAAGCTGTCTGGCCTTACAGGTAGTTTTTTTATATATTCTATTGAGGTTTTTCATCGAAAAGAGAAAAGATAATGTGAGATGATTTGAATTTACAGTTTACTATCATGTTTTATTTTTATTTTTGTGGACAGAAAAAATAAGACACTGATGTTTGGACATCTGTCTCTGGAACGAGGACTCGATTGGTACAAGAAAATCCTGTCTTTGAGTCTCCAGGAACCCAAAGAATTGAACATAAATCCAAAAAATTGTGTTGGCACAGTTTTGGCATTGAATGGACATCGGAAGTATTTTTGTATGTACCATGCAAAACACCCAGAGTGTAGTAAGGGGAAAGGAGCGAAGGTAAATAAAAAATAGAGGGACTTTACATCTAAATATTTAATCCCCGATGGTTTTCAGAGGTCATGAATTATCCTGTTTCAATTTCCTTGATTGTCATCTGAATAATTCACGTTTTCTTGAATTGGTTAGCGAATGGAAAGAATGACGAAGCATTTGAGCCGCCGAAATGACGATGCTGAAGCTGGTGCCTTTATAGGATTCGATAGCTCTAGCGACTCCGAAATGTCACAAGACGAGGTACAAATAAATATCAGTTACACTGTAAAGGAAATCAGCTTCCATATCAGATGTTTCAATACGTAATGTCTTTGATTTTTCAGATGGACAACAGTGTTTTGTACCAAGACAGACTTCTAGATCGTCTACCGAACTGGCTGGATAGATTATTCGAAGGCTCAACTCAACGTTATTACATCAATTATTGGCCGGATTTCACTGCCAAATAAGACGAGGTTTGTTGTACGTTTGCTAACGTATAAAATGCCTTTTAACTGTAATGAAACTGTATACAGGTGTCTTGAATCTAGTCATTGAAGTGAAGCAATATGGAGACTTGTTGATACCAATAAAAATAAGTTTGAAGTCCGTCATACAGACATCATTACTGCATCACTGAGGGGTAAACATTGCAGTTCATAAAGTGTTATAATTTCCCACGAATCTGTATAGATATCATTATTTATGTTATATCGTCAATAATGATGAAGTTCTGCCGAAGGTGTGGAGACAACCTTGACTGATACCAACGTACAACAGCAATCAGTTCGGTTTTTGGAAATGACTTGACGTTCATTCCATCTCAGTCAGGTGATTTATTATTTTGATACAAGTCCATTATGCCTGAGTCTAATAGAGATAGCGAATTTATCTAATTCCGGTGATTCGGAGATATTATTCGCTAATTACATTGAAACAATAGAACTTTACTCTTTGGTTTTTTAATGCTCATTTTGTCTTCTTTCTCTGTAATTAATACAAGTCTAGTCAATAAATGTGTTCCTTCAATGTAGCACCATGCTTCTCTTAAGCAGAAACTCGATTATTTGTATGCTGATTTACGATTGAGAGTTGTGAATTTTGGAGGATTGAATGTGTCATTGTTTCATTGTATTTATCTATGTACGACGATGTCAATGCGTATAATGTGTTTCAGTATGAATATGAATGTCCGAGAGACGGAGTTGAATTTTTTGCTGTGTGGAATGAAAGGAAATGAATTTTTCAATCGTTCATTCAATTATTTGGTGGTAAATTTGAAGAAATTGCGTAGACACAAGTTTATTTCATTAAGGCCCGCATGGAGCATCTGTCGAACGCGATCTTTTGTGCATATTCTATCTTGTTAGCCTAAAATATATTAAAATTTGGGATCGAAGGCTCTAGCCGGATAGGCAGAGTGATTCTGCCCCCAACGAATTCGATAGCGCCACTTTTCGGACATGTTTATGACCAAAAAAGATAATTGTCTGGAAAATTTCAGATCTTTATCTTGGTTCCCTGATTTTCATTCATTAAAAAACGAATTGTTTCAATTTTATTTTGTTTCTCATTCCAAAAATCTTTTTAAAAATCGGGAAAAATTCTAAAAAATCGAAAACGGTTCAAACTTGTAGAAAATTATTTTTCCACATTTCTTTCTGGTTAAATTCTAATTTGTATCATTTAATCTTTTCATTTTTTCTATTAATTTTGATGTGTATAGCTTTTTCTGCTACTCTGAGGAAATTTGAGATGATTGATCTCTTAACTCTTTTCAAATTGAGGAACAAAAAATCACGACGTTTTATCTGCAACACATGAAAAAAAAATTAAAACTGCAAATTTTTACGTTTTTTATTAAAAATACCTGCCGATATCACTCCTCCAGCTTAATTAACTATGGCTATGTATATTACTTATATTTTATATCTGTACATAGTTATAATTACTAGTTAATTAACCTCTAGGAATGATCTCTGCTGGTATTTTTTCTTGACAAAAAAAGGTAAAAATTTGCAGTTTTAATTTTTTTCAAATGTGTTGCAGGCAACACATTGAAACTTTTTTTCTCTTAATTTTAAAGGTGTTGATAGTACAATAATTGGAAATTTCCTCAGAGTAGTAGACAAATCTGCATATATCAAAATTAATTACAAAAGGAAAAATTAAGTCATACAAAATAGAATTTACCAAGGAAAAAATATGAACAAATTATTTTTTACTTTTTAATTTTTTCGGTTTTTTCCAGATTTTTAGAACCATTTTTAGAATGGGGAAAAAATGAAATTGAAAAAAAAAACGGTTTTTAATTAATAAAAATCAAGGAATCAAGATAAAGATCTGAAATTTTCTCCAGAATTATCGGTTTGGGTTATAAATATGTCAAAAAATTGACTCCTTGAAATTCGTTAGGGGCAGATCCATGTCTATCCGGCCGGACCCTTTATGGTGCAGGACTCACTGGGATGGTTAATCGCGATGTTGATTGAGAAGCATTTAGGTTTATAAGAAGAATAATAAAAAATACGCAGCTTACTATTGCGTCTAGCTGTCACTCAATCCAATGAAGAGTAATGGTAAGCTGTGTATTTTTCATTATTTTGTTGTAATCTTGGTAAATTCGTTTTTTAATTCAAGAATTTTTCTTTTTTTTTCATTATCTTTCTATAACTATTCGAGTGGTGCCTGCAACACAGATTTGATTTCAAATTTTGATTTATTTTAGGCTAACCAGATAGAACTGAAACAAAAGATCACCTTCCATCGATAGTTCATCCGAACCTTAATGAGAAGAATTTCTCCTCGTTGAACACAATTTATCATTGTTGTACTTTCAATTAATCAGAGTCATAAAATATCTACGCAAATTACTCGATTGCCTTTAACTACTGTCAAAGGACTCAATTTACCGAGAAAATCGCATATTTCCGAACTCTTGGGATGAAGTTTCTTGCCTTCGGCTCGGCTCGTCAAATTCCACAAAGTAAAAAACCCCATTCCAACAGTCCGGATATTACTTTTCTGTAGTGATTTTCCAGTTTTCGAGTTTGGGAGGTATGTAGTATCAATTCTCAGAGGAGAAATTGTGAAAAGCTGTACGGAAAAAGAAGTTTTTCAGATTTTTGATCAACTACTTTTCAGACAAATCGCATTCTTAACTTCTAATATTTAAGGCCCTTCTGTTCTGGACATTAATTGAACACAAGATAACATAAACAGGAAATTTCGACATGGTAAAGCTGTGCAATTCCACAAATTATAAGCTAATATTTAAGTTGAACTTATGCCCCTTTTGAAGTGAGAAAATAATACGTCCCAGAAAATTAAATGAAAAACTCAAAAAATTCAGACAGGAACCAATCTCGAATTTTTCTCCATAAATATAAATAATTTTAATTTAAAAGATACTAACAAGGAACACTAGGGAGGTGTTCCTTACTCCTATTTCGATGAAACTCATATATGTTATAGACGATTTAAGTCTAAAGAACACGTATTTTTTTATCAGGCGGCCGTTGGGGACCATTTTTCAATTACATCTATGGAAGGGGGGTTCCAAAATGCGAATTAATGGTTCGTGAGAAATGATCACAATCACAATTAATAACTCATCTGGTGATTGAGATGGGGGGGGGGGCGAATTACGTCAGTAAAGAGTTAATTCCTTAAAAAAAAAAGTATGATTCAGACTTTCGTTTGGGTGCACATAGAAAAATGCAGAATTCATTTCTACTGATTGCAATGTTAATTCTATCGGAATTATTCTAGATCACTTCAAAATTTGGTCAGAAGAGATATTCTTTCCAAACGTGGGACCAAACAGTCTCCTGTTAATCGATTCATGGAGTGGACATTGGTCTCGAGTGGTAGCACAGGCAACTTGGAATAAAGCAACTCGAAAAAAAAGATTAACTATGCTGATTCGATAAGGAACTACCGAAAAAGTTCAGCCTCTTTATGTTTACAGTTTTAAAATTTCAAAAAATTATGTCCGTCATTTTTCAGACACGGTGGTTCTCTTGAATCATGACGGCAATTTACATGCCCGAAATAATATAATCAAATTGTAAACTTTAGTCCATAAGCAATTATCGTTACCGAGGTATGAGAATCTATTTTGTTATGTTCGGTTCTACATTGGCTACATTGTTCGAAAGCCAGAGCGATTTGATATCTTGTTCATTTTCCGTTTGGGCATTCTTTTAATTCACAATGACGGGTGTGCTAATGTTGCAATAGTTAGATACTCGTGGTGCAGAAAGTCTCTGTCTGCCTAATTTTTTAAAATGAATTCCACTCCTGTACAGATTAGAATCCGTTATAAAATATATGTATATATTGTTTGTTGAAAAGAAGGTTCTATTGACACGAATGCGATGGACTTCTATAATAAATACGAGATCGTTTTAACGATCCATACTTCTCCGAGAAATCTTGACATATTGGCGCCCTCAAATATTTCAAGTCCGGGAAAAATAAAAAATATTTTTCTGCATTTTTTCATGTTCTTTCAAATGCTATTGGTTTTATGAAAATTAGAACAATATTTAAAAAAAATTCGTAGGAGTAATTTATCCCCAAAACGAGTATCGATTCGGACTCTCAAAATTCCTCCCCTGGTATTTATCAACTTGATGAATTGAATAAATTCACTACTGTGACGGGTGATGTTTCTGAGAAGTTATTTTTTTCTCCCTATAAAACTTTAGTTCTAGGGAAAAACTAAAAATACGTGTTACACATTTTTCCCAACGCAATTTGTTTTATAAAATTCTGAGTCATACGTTTTTGTTGTGTGTGAAGGAATGAAGGAATCCAGTGAGGAACTAACTCTTTCCCAGGGGTAATCATGGCCCAAGTTTGAACTGGTGAGGAACTATCGTTTGTGATTTTTATCATTTTTCACGAACTATTTAGTCGCATGATAAATATTTCTAAAAATCCCCTTCTTATAGGTGGAATTGGAAAATCGTCCCCAAAGGTAGTGCTTCTTCTGACCATGATTTCCTCCCTTAAAACCGCGTTTCAGACGATAAAAAAAATTACGTGTTCTTCAGTTTTAAGTCCGCTATAACATATACACCTTCCTAGTATTCCTTGTAAGAGAAGAACCCAATCCAGATAAGCTACTATCTATTGACTTCTACTTATTGGGGATACAATGGAATTAGTGTATAAAAATAATAAAAGCTTAATAGAATTACTCGAAAAAACACTAAATATTTCCATGCGTGAGGGGTAATTTTCTAGGAGTTGAATATTTCTCGACAATCTTTTATCCCGTGAATTGCAGTGAAAATCATTAGAAGCTGAATAGATTAATCGAGACTGTCTTGATGCCTCATTTTTTCTTCGGCCAGTTTTTAAATTTTCAGTAGTTACAATACTTACCACTTATTTTAGAGGAACAAATTGTTAGCAAGGATTTCTTAAATAAATTAAAATACCTTCTACAAATGCAAGTGATATTGTTCAACGAAGAGTATCAAAAATCATAAGATGATGGAATCTAAGGAATTACGCGTGTAGACGGTGCTATTCACAATCTATATTCGCAGTACTGTTATACAAATTGGATATTGCACCAGACCCAGTATTCACTGCAGCGAAATTTCTCGTAAAGACTAAATCGATCAATAAAAATAGAAATTATGAAGAATTATTACATATTTGGATAAAAGACGTGGCACGGTATAAAATAATTCATAATAGCTGTTAAAATGACACTCATCTCCTGACTGTCCTCAATGTTTTTTTATGTATATATTACCAAAGAGTTGTAATGTCTAGACAATTACTATCTTAATGACTTTATACAGTGAAATTATTGAATAAAAATTGTACCGAAATTCCAGTTACCTAGAAAATATAAATTATAACAAACAACATACGACATTTTTATTGGTGAAATTCGAATTTTCATCTCTGCGATTGTACTTTTACTCTCCAGAGTTCGGAATTTCCTTGAAAAACCGTCAATGCTGTCAAAAAATTATAGTCCTAATCATGACTAATTAATTATCGCTTCAATAATTATCATTTCAATAATGGGGCCTTTTTTTCCCAGAAAATACATTAAAGGCATTTCAAATCGTACGGCTGGCGATTGCATTGATTGCTATCTTGAAAATTGTTCACGCGCGTCAATCCGTGCAGTATTGCAACGTTGCAACTAGACTAGACTAGACTAGACTAAAGACTAGACTAGGTTAAAGATTAGACTAGACTAGGTTAAAGATTAGACTAGACTAAAGACTAGACTAGACTAACGACTAGACTAGACTAAAGACTAGACTAGAGTAAAGACTAGACTAGACTAAAGATTAGACTTTATATCAGGTGTAACGCACTCAAACTTTTAGAAAATTATTTTAGAAATTATATTTTAGCAAGTTATTTCTCATTTATGGAGGAACTATTCATTCACCAGGTTCTCAGAGAATTTGGTTCTACTCGCTTTATCTCGAATTAATCGTTTCGCAATTCTTTGAGTTCGCATCTAATCGTCCTTTATGCCATCGGTGCCCGTAATCACGCGAT